GGACTTCCACTCCCAGAATCCCCCAGCCAGCCATGCTTTAAGAGGGGAGGACTTCCACTCCCAGAATCCCCCAGCCAGCATCCTTTAAGAGGGGTGGACTTCCACTCCCAGAATCCCCCAGCCAGCCATGCTTTAAGAGGGGTGTACACCACACAGAAGTTGAAGTCCTGTATTTCAAAGTTGTTGAGTTGAGAAACACGGTTCTAGATGACCACAAATCTCATCCTTCTTCCAGCCAGCTTAGGTCGTTGAAGGCACCCCAAAGCAATCCGAGATGGGACCAGCCATACCTCATCAGCATGTCCGGGTAGGTCAACGGCCAACTTCTGCGTCTTGGCGTCCCAAACTTTGAGGGTGCTGTCGCTACTCCCGCTGACCAGCAGACGGCTGTCGGACGACCACGCAATCTGGTACACAGCCGAGACATGTCCCCGCAGGGAAGTGAGATACCTGGGGTCGAAAAAGTCCAGTTAGGGTGGAATTCCATGCCTCACTCATTTCCCCGAGTCTGTCTCTTTTTATTTTCTTACTATGTGGTCGGGCTTAGTTTTTGGGGAGGAAAATAAGGAGAAAAAAATTCTGCCTCTGCCTACCATCATCCATCGGTATTCATCCGGTTAGCATCCTGTCAGTGTGTGACAGAGTTGAGGGCTGTTTGGAAACTGAAACAGTATTTGCTGTGTGAGCAAAGGGACAGCAAGGAGCCTGGGCGTGGCTTAGCTCAACTGTTCTGTACTAAAGCTGCTTGGTGCTGTGAAAGTAAAACTGAAACTCCTCTGCTTGTGTTTTGCGTTTGGAAGAGATTTCTTTTCAGGTGGGGAGGGGGTGTAGAACTCCTTAGCATCAGAGCGTGTTAATAATAATAATATAGGAAATACTAATAGCTCTGATGGTCATTTCGAAAAACCCTTTCTTAGTGAGCACCCAGAAGCCAAGAGGAACATACTGTTGTGGTTTGCCGGCAGAGGAATCGGAGAGTGGGGAAGAAAGGGGATCAGTCTGGGAGCCTGGAGGGGATTCGGACGAGGTCCTGCCTCCAATGCAGGGATGGGACCAGGACCATCTGGAAGTGGGGTGCTGCCTCTAGAGCCTCCGGAGCTTCTGGAGTCTGGCAGCAGCGAGGCAAAGGAGCGAGGGGAGCCTGTTCCCAGTTTGCGTGTGCGCAGAGCTGCTAGAAGGCGAGAGCAGCTGAAACAAAAGGGGCAACTCGGGAGTAAGGCTGGGAGGTGATTGCCCCTCCCATAAGGTATAAAGGACAGGCAAAGGTGAAGAAACCTTTGCAGGAAGCAAAGTCGTTCATTCAGTTCAGGTTCATTCTTGAAGCTCTTTGTACTTGGGTTGTTGTTTTTTTTTTCTAGTTCATTTGATATTTCTGTTATTGGCAGCACTTCACAGAAAAGAAAGGTGGGTGCTTATCTCGGGGGACTGTTTGAGATTCATTACTGGCTGGAAATGAAAACAATTCCCAGCATTGCAATAAAATAAGTCTTGTTTTTAAAATAAGGGTGTGCGTAATTACAATCCAAGAAGCCTTGGTCAGAACACATATGTGCCAAATTTCAGATTTGTAGGCTTTATGGTTCTGGAGATTTTATGATGATGCATGAGTGGTATTTCGCTTTTATATATAATGTTATAATATAGCAAAACTCACAAGGCCATCACACAACCCATTACCCAAGCCGTTAAAACACGAGAGGCTAATGGAGAAAAGATCACTACAAAACAAACGACCCAGGAGATTACAGCACAAAATCCAGGATATCTCCACAACAAAACTCACAAGGCCATCACACGGCCCATTATACCAACATCAAGTCCATCAACCAATCAAGAGGCAGCAGTTTAGCCAACCAGCCCAGCACACCAGCCCCCCCCACCAGTATTTATAGAGGCAGCAGCTCCGATCACACACTGCTTGCACTGGCACAAAGCCGAAAGCACCAGCCTGAGGATGGCGAGTGGGACCTTGCCGAAACGTCGCCAAAATACTCTTAATCTTACACGGGAAAAGACCTGAACACACCTAGACCTACATACCTGCACCCGTGAAAATCTAAGAAAACATATATATATTTATGGCATTCAGCTTTGTTTGGGTATTTTCCCACGTCATTATGGTTGTGCTTTTAAAGTTGTAGCAATGTTTCAGCAGAAACTCATCTGCCATCATCAGGCTTCTGTATTGTGTTCGTCTGCCTGATGATCATCATCATCAGCCTGATGATGGCAGATGAGATTCTGCCGAAACATTGCTACAACTTTAAAGGCACAAGTATAATGACATGGGAAAATACCGGAACAAAGCTGAATACCATACATATAAATACCCGCGAAAACTTAAGAAAACATATATATATGGACATGTGGCAACTGGTTCATATTTATGACAGTGGCAGTGTCCCGGGGCTGCGAGATCCCCTTTAGTGACTTTCAGACCGGCAAAGTCGACAGGGAAGCCAATTCCCCTAACAACCGTGTTGCTGACTTAACAACGGCAGTGGCCCCTTAACAACAGTGATAAGAATGGTCTGTCAACTCATAAAATATTTCTATGGTCGTTTTAGAGTTGCCAACGGAAAGGGAGGGGGAGAAAGGGGTTTGAAAGAGCAGTGCGGCAGCTTGGAAATCGAAAGTGCATTCCATAAATAGTTTTCAAAGATAGTAACTAGGTGACTGAAGTTTCTGCCATGCAAATATAATACTGGAGAGCCTGATTGATGACTCTGGGCTATGGATGTGTCCCATTGGAGAAAAGGAATGATGATACACCCAGAGGGGTGGGGGGGAAAACCAGAGTCAAGGGTGACAGTGAATTACGTGTCTGAGAGTCGGCTACACCCAGGCAGTGCCGGTAATGTTAACTTCTAATAAATCCTTTTTGAAGTTTTGGAAGTTTGGCTCGAGACTCGTGATTTAAATTGGGGGGAACTGCAGGAATCCTGACACGGTCATTAACATGGGGCAAAACTCAGTAGGCAAACGGTTCTGCTTAGCAACGGAAATTTTGGGCTCAATTATGGTTGTAAAGTTGAGGTCGACCTATACTGTACTGCATCCCTGTTCACAACAGAATTGTAATAAGAAAACGGAAAAAAAAAAAGGAGGCGGGGAAAGAATCCAGACTAGAACTGGTGTCTCCAATCTGAGCAAACTTTAAGATTTGTGGACTTCAACTCCCAGAATTCCTCAGGCAGCCATGTTGGCTGAGGAATTCTGGGAGTTGAAGTCCACAAAGTCTTAAACTTGTCCAGGTTGGAGGCCCCTGGACTAGAACATGCCCTGAATTCCAGAAATGTCCTCCAGGAAAACCTCACATCTGGATTGACGTGGTCCAGAGGAAGGAAGGACAGTCTCCAAAATGTTCCAGAATCTCTCCCCTCCCCCACACCCCACTCCACCCAAAAAAATTCCACCTACTTCCCGGTCCGTCCATCCCAAAGCTTGATTGACTTGTCGAAGGATGCGCTGGCGATGGTGCGGGTGTCAGGGGAGAAGACGACTTGATTGATTAACGCTTGATGGCCTGTCATTCTCGTCAATGGCTTCTTATCTTCGGCAGGAAGCCAAAGAAACAAAGTGAAATCATCTGATCCAGAGACCAGCCGTTCTGGTCCTTGGCCCTGAGGAAGAAAAGATTTAAAAAAAAAAAATTGTGGCTTTTGTGAGGAAAACAGATGATTTTGTGGTTTTTTTAAAGTTATTTTTTTATTTTAACAACAAAAACAAACAAATAAAACCATTTTTCAGTTCAACGGTGTGTCGGTTGGGTACATCTATCCTGTGCACATATTATTATCATACATTTCTTACTTGTTTATATATATATATAAAACCATTCAAATCAGTATTTTATTTCACATTGGTTCAATTGTTATATTATTATTAATATTGTAATTATTATCTTTCAAAAACATATTTCATCCTTACCTAAATTATATTCATTCTCTTGCTCAGTCAATTAATTGTAATACATTATTACTATTATTGCATGTTTCTCACTCTTGAAAACAGAAGATTTTGAAACAGCTTTGCATTCGGGTATTGTCATGCCCCTGTTCCAGTCTGACTCCAGGGAGTGGAAGTGTGGCTCCGGAGGTTGTGGAGGAGGCTGGGGAAGGGCAGAGGCCGGCTGGGCAGTCAGAGGAAGACCCAGGCCCATCCCCTCTCCATCCTAGGGCACGCAGGGAGGAGAGGATAAGGGAGACGTGAATGGCAGGTCTATGGGGGAGGAGAGGGCCTTGATCCCCTTCATGGGCTGCAGCTGTGAGAACTGGTTAAAAGGATGGACATGCATATGGGCCAATGCTGGAAACAAAGCATGGAAATATCTCTAGTCTGTCGTTCCTCTCTGAGTTTGGCATCCTTTCCAGTGTGTATTCCGATATCTGTGGATGTCTTCAAGATAAGGCTGGTTCACTTAGTTGTTTCAGTGTGGTTTGTGTTGTTTTTAATACTCTTTATAATTTTTAATCATTTTTAGTTTAAACGGCATTTCCTCCTTTTCGTAACTGCTTGTGGGGGAGTTTTTTTGTCTCTAGTCAAGGATATTTGGAGCTTTGAAGCAAAGTGAAGGAATAAAAGGGGCTTCACTTGTTTTTGTGACTCTCTCTTTGTTTTGTATCCCACCCTGGGTCATCATAGGTATTTATCAGCCCAGCGCACAACTTGAGCCTTTGGAACTCACCACCATAAGAACTTAGCAAAAAGGCCCAATGTTTCCAGAAAATACCTTCAACGTATATAACTGACTTACGACAATTGAGCCCAACACTTCTGTTGCTAAACGAGGCCGTTGCTAAGTGGATTTTGCCTCATTCTACAACCTTTCTTGTCACAACTGCTAAGTGAATCACTGCGGATGTTAAGTTAGTCCCACGGTTGTTAAGCAAATCTGGACTTTGTTTGCTAGAAGGACACAAAAGGGGATCACGTGACCCCGGGACAATGAAACCGTCATAAATACGAGTCAGTTGCCAAGCCTCTGAATTTTGATCGGGATGTTGCAGCAGTCGTAAGTATGAAAAATAGCCCTAGCCTTTTCAGGTTTTTTCAGTGCCCTTGTAATTTCGAACGGTCATTAAACCAACGGTCGTATGTTGAGGACTATTTATAGTCCTTATATCAATTTATAAGCCAAGCGCACAATATGAGCCTTTGGAATTCACTGCCACAAGAGTGTAGCAAAGAGAGGATTCCAGCCTAAATTTAAAACGTTTTATTGAGAGTTTGGAAAGCTTTGGGGATAGGAGCGATGGAAAACGCTTTCTCCTATAGAAATAGTCCAAGTGACTTGTGACTGGTCCTCGCACTTACGACCGTCACAGTATCCCCATGGTCACACGTGCTTAAAAATTTGGATGTTTCGCAACCAGAACGTATTTACTATGAGTGGATGTGATCCCCTTTTTCGACCTTCCCAAGTGACTTCTGGCACTCAAGGTTAATCGGGGGAGTTGGATTTATTGAACGACCATATGATTCACTTCAGAACTTCAGCGATTCACTTAAAAACCATCGCAAAAAATGGGTTATAAAATAGAACGTCACTCTCCTATCAGCTGCTGCGTTTAGCAGCAACGGAGGTTCCGGTGTCAATTGTGGTCAGAGATCGACCCGTATCTGCATTGCAAATGGAGGCGGGTAGCAAAACGTTACATGGAATTGTTGAGGCCTGTCGGCCGCCAGCCCCGCCGGCAGCCGAATCAGAGGAGGAGCGGAAGGTGTGGGAGGCAGGATCAGCATTAAGGCAACCTGAGAGCTCCGAGGGGGAAGAGGAAGTGGAGCTGGCAGAGAGACGGAGGCGGAACCTGGGCCTTCCGTCAGCCCTCAGATGGAGAGTCAACAGCCCCCCAGGTCTGGAGGTGGCTGATGAGGAACAGCTGGGTACAGTGACGGACACACAGATGCGCAGAAGGCAGAGGAGAGGAGAGCAGTGGAAATCTATGGGCCGGTCCTTGGGACGGAAGAGCTACCACTGCTAGCGAAGCCCCTACTCAAGCGCTGGGGATAAAAGGCCGGGGGCGGAGATGAATAGATGTGACAGACAACTATTCATCTCCTTGCAGGATGGACTGGTCAGCGTGTGGCGAGAGAGAAACATTTTTGGCGGGGGTATTGGCGCTCCTAATCAAGGAATCTTTTGAGTTAACTTCCGAGGGTTTGTCGTGTTTGGGGAGGTGGGTCAAAACGGGAATATTCTGATTTAAAGATCTTCCTAGCCAACTGGTTCAGTCTAATCCATTCTATAGTTAAGATTCACAGTCATAAATTGAATTTGAATTTCATCCTCTTTGGTAGCCTTCAGGGGACCCCCCCCCCCCCCCCGAAAAAAATCATTTTTAGAAGGAAACTCCATTGAGATGGCAACACAGGAGGTTGCATGGACGTGAGCTCCATCCGATAATTTTAAAATGCATTCTAGAAATATTGGATAGCAGTATATATATATATATATATTTATATATTTATATATTTAGATAGATAGATAGATAGATAGATAGATAGATAGATAGATAGATAGATAGTATGTTTTCTGAGGTTCTCGTGGGTATTAGTATGTGGATCTTTGGTTATTCGGGTTTTCTCCCACGTAAGATTGGCAGTATCTAGGCAACATTTCGATGAAGTCTCATTCATCATCTTCAGGCTTGTCTTCCGCTCTGTGTTAGTTTTTCACTCTGAGAAGCACAGAGCCGAAGACACAAGCCTGAAGATGATGAATGAGACTTCATCGAAACGTTGCCTAGATACTGTCAATCTTACGCGGGAGAAAACCCGAATAACCAAAGATCCATATATATATGGGTCACACGTAAGAAACTCATTCCAGTTCATCGAGATCATAAAGAAACAAAACTTACAACCTAATGACCTACTAGTAAGCTTCGATGTCATATCCCTCTTCACCCAAGTGCCAATAAAAGAAGCCTTGACAGCCATCCGAAACAAATACAACCCCCCCAAGCACATCCTAGATCTGACCAACCACTGCCTATCCAATACATACTTCACCTACAATGAACAAAAATACAAACAAATAGAAGGAGCACCCATGGGATCACCCCTCTCACCTGTCATCGCTAACCTCTACATGGAACACTTTGAAACACAAGCTCTAGAAAAATACGACCACAAACCCAAACTCTGGCTCAGATACGTAGATGACACCTTCATAATCTGGCCACACGGGAAAGAAAAACTGAACAACTTCCTCACATACCTCAACAGCCTACACCCCAAAATACAATTCACCATGGAAACAGAAGCCAACAA